TTTACCAAAAACTAATCAGCACGATTCCCAACCAATATCTATCGAATGGTTTTTGAATTTTCAGAATCGATTTAGAATTGCGGGCTAAAACGTGGACGAAAATTTTTTCACTTTTCTGCAATTTACAAAGAAACGGCCCGGCCGATCGCCGCACAAAACTCAGAGACGATAGTCCTCATCGAGATACATCAAATGGCTTTTAAATTCTTGAAATCGGTCCAGCCGTTTTGAAGAAAACATCGATTTACGGCAAAAAATCTGTTCACACACACACACACACACACACACATACTTTTTCCAAATTTGGTCTCATTCGATTCAGAATGGCTTGAAACGTCGAGAAAACATAAAATTAGCGATTCGGATTTTTTGATGAAAACATAAACTTCTCCTTCGGGAAGTTAATAAATAAATAAAATGAAATATGAAAAGCCATAAAAATCATTTCATAATATTTAATTTAAGTTTTAATGTATTATCATTTCTAATATCATAAGATTTAATTTATTTCAGACTTTAACAAAAATATTTATGCCTTCACAATCTTGGGGCCCTCAAAGTGGAGAGACACGAAAAGCAAGAAATAATTTTTCGCCGAAAGAAGGACCCCAAAGTAATTTTTTCACGCTCAGTTGCGATCATGAATGCATATGGGTTGTAAAAGTGAGATTTTGACCAGTTTTAATAATTATACGTATACTATTATTGTATTAGTTATATATGTAATATTTTAATTTAATAGAAAATGCTGAAAACTACTCTTACGAATACTTGGAATATCGTGGACCTAAATATAACATCTGCAACGGATATGCAATCAATTGATTCTAAAGAATTGTTTGATGCGTAAGTATAAACAAATGTATTAATAAATTATTTATTTTATTATATTATTAATTATTATTGTTGTAAATTTAGTGTATCTGAAGTATACTTAGACCAACTGGATGCTGCAAGAAAAGTAAAAAATCGTGGCAATCGAATTAAAATATAAGTTGAAAGTTATTTTATACTGTTATTTATTTTATAAACTATTTATACTATGAATTTTTTCTGCTAATTTGAAAATAAATAAAAAAATAATTTTTGGACATATTTGGAATGTTGAATAATTCTGTACAATGTTTAGTAAATAAATTGATTCCATCCATCCAAAAAAATAATTATATTGAAATAATTTGAAACTAGTGGGGCGCATGGCATTGTGGCTTAAGGCAAATTGCTAGAAGAACTTCCTGTACCAAAAATTTTTTTTAAAAAAGATAAACACTTTTGAAAAAAAAAATACTTTGAAAAAATTAGATTTTTGAGACTATAAATTTTTGACAAAAATTTACTTTAAAAAAAAAGACTTAGAAAAAAAATGTTTTCTTTATTTTGAAATATTTTGGAAATTCTAATTTTTTTTCAAAGCAATAGTACTGCTTTAACTGCATAGAGACGAAATATCGAAGCGAGTAAGCGTCGCGTCGCCGTCTTAACGAATAAACATTGGTACAAAACCCATAGGAAGGTAAACAAAATTTATACTTATTGTTAAAATCTCTATAAAATATCTGATAATTTGTTGTGCATATTTCTAATGATCATTTTTTTGCCAATTGTCATTTTTTTACTAGATCTCCGAAACCGCTAGACCTGCCTTTATGAAAATTTAATCAGTTCTTCATCTTGTCAATATAAGTAAAATATTTTTTGTATTATTAAAATCGGACGCTCCGTTCTAATAAAATCTGAGTTACCGTTTGTGGCACTTTTTGCCCCGTATCTTCGAAACGGCTACATCTGCCTATGCCAAAAACTAACCAGCACGTCTCCTTGACAACAGAAATCGAATGTTTTTTGAATAATTAAAATCGGTTGAACCGTGTTCCCAAAATCGTCGACGAAAATTTGTATCCGTACGCACACACAGACATACACATACATCTATTTTTTCTAAGTTATGCCAAAATGTTCAAAAACCTCTGAAACGTAAAGATACATAAAAAATACGGAAGTTAATAATTAGGTACTTGCAAAAATTGTAATAAATTTAAAGTGATCAATTTATAATTTCTATAGTTCGTATCACGATAATATGTGATATTTCTATATAATCAAGCAAAAGTAAGAAAAGTGTTTAAAAATATTAAAATAAAATAATTTCAAAATAACAGTTAATTCCACATATCGAATATCCATAATATCTGTAAATTATTTATGAAAAATAACTGCAAATTATGATTCGAATAAATATTATTGTCTTAAACTTTTACAGGCTCTATTAATTATAAATATTTTTTCAATATAATATTTATACAGTATACATCACTAAATTTACGATCACATTAATACATTAACTCTATGTATTGAGTATTTATATAGGCCCTGAACATCAATAGCTATCTAATTTATTGTCAATGTTTTTACATTATTTATATATAAGATAATGTCTTTAATGTCTTACATAAAAATTGAATAAACACTTATTTTAAAGTCTAGTCTCGAATGACTTGAGAAATGCTCATAAAAATGCTGATTGATATGTCAGTTCTTTGAAAAATGCCGAATGAAAATTAAATGGACATGTAGACATATAGATATTGCAGAAAAATATTCACAACAGTGATAAATATGAAATTGGCGGGAAATGACTGATTAATATTTTAACACGTTCGCGGCCAGTAAAAATGTGAATCATTTTTTGTCGTATGATTAAACACAGTTCAGGGTAGTCAGATTACCACATTTGAATCTTCATCTACTATAAATGCTATAGCATCCACGTCAAGTTACACGCTTCTATTTTATGCAATGTGCTTGCTCAAGCTAAAGTTAAACTACGAGATAAAATAACATAATACGAAAATACCTGAAGAATCAGTTAGTAATCATCTTGACAGGTATAATAATTATACAAACGTGAGTATATATAAAATTAAATTTAAAATAATTGACTTCAAGATTTGATTGCTATACCATGCACGTCATTCTGCATCACAATAGGAATGAATGCTATAGCATTCACGTCCGCGAACGTGTCAAATTCATTCAATAAAATTGCTTTTATCAACCACATACTTAACACATAATAGCAAAAGATCAAGCCTGAAACATTTTGCTTATTTCTCTGAAATTTATTATTATTATGAAATTATTGTTAAGTAAGAGTTACCATTGTCCGCATTATTATAAACATAAATTTTATATTGTAAAAAATATGAACAATATTATAAACTATTTCTCTAAGGAGAATTTATGTGTAAATTAAAGAATATACTTATATTTCTCAATAAATTTGAAAACATGCTGTAGTTTCAATTAAATTAAACTGTTTTTTTTCAGGAGTAAAAAATCCCCTTGATTTCCAAACTAGAAAGCAAAATCTTATTGCATCTATAGCAAAGATATATTCAATTTTGCCAGCCATTCAAACTATTATCAAAACTATGGGACCGATTCTGTCGCAAACATACCAATGTTATGGCAAGGCTATGTTATGAAGAACTTTCCATACAAAATCGTTCTAAAATTGATAAAAGGCACATGGTTGCTGTGCAGTCAGGTGATTTTCTTAGGTTGTCAGATAGAAAATATAACCTAGAAACCGCACAAATATCAAAAAAATATCTTAGATAACATGGTCTTTTTTACCCAGCTTCATAACATACGAGTGACGTTGCAGTTTATGTGTAAATCACCTGAATGCACAGCAAATACATGACACTTCGAAAGTATTCAGTGTAATTTAGTAGCATTATGTATGGAAGTTGGGCTGTAACATGGCCTTGCCATAACATTTGTCTGTTATGCGGCAGAATCGATACTTGTATTTTAAAATTTGAGATAATTTTTCTGCTAAACATGACCACTAAATAAATTACTAATAGACTTGAAAAATCCCGCTTTTTTATATTGTTTAATGAACATTTTCGTTTATTTCAAATAACGATGAATCTTTTGAAAATTTAAAAAATAAAATTATTTTTAAACTCTAATGATCACTTTCTTGATAATTTTCTATAAATACATTTTGATTATACACTAAGATGTTTTAAAATTTCTTAATATATTTACATACCTTTGATTATGTGTAAATAGTTATATGCATTGTTTTTCAATGATGTGTTTAAATTTGTTCTAAGTTAATTATTGTCCGTCTTATATTTTTGAACTAATTTCAATATTATTGTCTTAATTATATAATTTTTCAATATATTTTATAACCACACTATATATCTAAATTTCACAACAAAAATACATTCCCGATTTTGAATCGATAGATCCAAAAACAAGCACAGTATAGAATATGATATCAAAAACATCATCAGCAACAACTCTTATAATATTGACAGTATTGCACAGAAATTATTATTATTGTTTTAATATCAACAATGATTCTTATCGACTAGCATGGATGGGTAATAAATTGCGTAATAGGCGCTTTTAAAGAAATGTATAAAGATTTATTGTCATAGACGTTGGCATTTGAAAATAGATAGATTAAATTGCTTTATTTCGTATCGATATTGCCGTTCTTATATATACAAAATCCATTAAACAGAAAACCTTATCTGGTTTAACCAGTTATCTGTGTGTGATAATTGTACTCGTCATGAGCTCGATACAGACTACACAAAACAGAGCGCACTGTTCGACGTTAGCGCCACAGTTAACTTGTTAAGTCAAGTACGAAAATAAATGAACTCCTTTGCCGCAAAATGTTTCCAAAAATTATTCAATTCTTAAAAAATAATTAAAAAATTGCAGTTTCTAAGCATGTGCGCGATGTTAATACTTATAAATTTTATGCGAAGGCACTAACTATTCAATCCATAGAAGCGATGATGATTTCTACTCCATGCACAAATTCACAACTATTTATTTAAGTAAAATACATAAAAGATATAAGTTCACTATTGTGATCAAATTCTTCTCGTTATTTCATTATTATTATCTCCTTGATAACCATCTATGCAGTATCTATGGTTCGAATTGTTAGTATCAAGAAGCATTACCTAGTTTACATCAAAATCATCATCGTGATTCCTCGTTGGACAACACAATCCTTCAGAACCATCTGGCCTTATACAAAATAATAACATTTCGGCTGTTGTTGTTGGATGTGGAACAATACCATGGAAGTCTCGCAGTTCGTTTGCTGGAAACCAGGCTTTTTCATCGTCGTCAATCACAAGCACTCCAAACAGCCTACAATAATATATTTTGTTTCACATAACTATTTTCCAATTTAAATATGTTTTTACCGACTTACCTGCAAATAGCGACGCCAGGAATCCATAATACTGAAACCAGGATTAATACTAGAACAAGAACTAGAGCCCATATAGGCCAATCTTTATTTGCTGTTTCTCCTAAAGAAGGGACCCAAGCTGGATAGTAACTGCCTTCTGTTGCCAAATTGACAAAACTTGCAACCAGAATTGAAAGCATCGCTAAAGGTGATAAATATTTCCAGCAAATCAACCAGTATAATCCGGGACGAGATCCTGTCATTAGTTCGATATCATCCGCAAACCTGGGTTACACAATTCAGATTCAAAATATATCATAAATTTTTCATATCTAGATTTAGATATTTACCCACCTTTTTAATCCATAGACATACGACACAGCAATGCATTCAAACAGAGCTATAATCAGCAAAGGAAAATTTCCAGTAAAACTGTCCATCAACAGAAAAATATAAGAACCAGCTCCATGTGCAAATCCCATCGAAAAAACGCAACATAGAAGACACAAAACTCCTGTAAGAATCTCCTTTCTCAAATTCGGAAATAACTTCATGTCGACGATGGATGTGACTACTCCTTCAAGTGTTCCGAATTGAGAATCTATTCCTAATGTGAATAACATCAAGAAAAACAAGACGGACCAGAATTGTGCTCCTGGAAATTGGTTGATGGCTTCTGTGAATATGATAAAAGCCAGACCAGTTCCGGACGCACTCTGTAAAAAATAGAAAAAATTATACTAAATAATTTGTTTTGAAGCAGGAGCACATTGCTGAATAGTTATTGCCTTAAAAATGTAATTCAAAATGAGAACTGCAGATATCCGAAATGATATAATAAATAGAAATACGATATAAGGAACTTGTTCTGTTGTTTCTAGATTGTAAAATACAAGAATTAAATGTAGTTGTAGTTGAATGTCAAGCAAGTATATATAAACATATGTATTTTTAGTCTATTTAATCTACTCACATTATCAAGTTCCTTTTCTAAATCGCATATCGGCAATTCTGGCATGATAACACTCCTCATCGATCCATTCCCTAATGGCACATTAAATACAGCTCCAGCTGCCGGAAGATCTATGGCACTATAATTTGCTCCAAGAAGCTCCAACAGTGTCGTATTTCTTGAATCCAAACACTTCTCATACACCATTGTCGCTTTAAATCCAATTATCGAGAAAACAACTATTCCGGCAAACATTGACGTTAGACAATTCGTCATAGATACCATGATGGCATCTCGATAGCAATTATTGTTCACAGGATTGTAGGACGAAAATGCTATAAGTCCACCAAATGCAAGACCAAGTGAGAAGAAGATTTGAGTTCCTGCTTCTAACCAAACAACCGGATCTAGAATGATGTGCCAAGTTGGTGTGAACAAGTGCCTCAAACCATCAGACATTCCATGTAAAGTTATTCCACGGAAGAAGAAAATTATTAACACTATGTAGGGAAATGTAGCGGTGACGTAGACAACTTTTCCAGATGATGCTATTCCTTTGATCATGCACATATAGACTAAAACCCAGGCGATGCAAAGAGCTATTGCGATTTTCCAATTGAATGGTGCTGTGATGTTGATGTCTTCGGATGCCATCAGAGTGGTGCGGTACCAGAAGTATTGCGTGGGACCACTTTTCTGCAAGAAAAAAAAAATACAAAACTTATGTAACAAACTAAATAGTTTTTTGAACTTATTTTTTAGCAATCAGAACTCTCATTTGTGTCTTATGAGCTGTTGTCCTATTTTGTGTCCTATGAGCTTTTAATCTAGCATTATTAGGAGGCAACTCAGTGGTTGTCCATTCTTTTTATAGTAAGATCTTTATCAGATATATTTCTAAGAGTAATGTGATATGATGCAGCAATACCCCATGGGCTATTATCACTTAAAAATATATTTAGAGTGCGTCCCATTATCACGTGATCAATTTTTTTAGAGATTTTTGTACCCCGACTTCCCCTTGGTGATAACGTCGTAATATTTAAAATAACCCCTCCCCCCACCAAACATCATATGTATTTTTAGTTGCTTAAAATTTTTCGAACGAATTTTTCGAATTTACTGAAAACGTTAATTTTTTTATTTTTTGAAAATGTTTGGATTTTCTTATTCTTTTACCTGAATGAATACACGTGATATCTTACTAGACCCGTCCCTCTCCGACGTGATATTCTGTGATTTTTTGTCAAACACCCCTCCCCCTAAAAGCCTCAAATTTGAACACCAACCTCAACAATGAGATCTATATCTTTAAGTGAGAGCTGACATCACTACTGCTTGATATGAAGCTTGCTGAGATGATAGCACTACTCTTGTGCTCGTGCCTAACTAACAAGCCTGAACTTATATAATAATTGCCAGAAATATTAATTTTACAAAAATACATGTAGAAGTAAGTTTTATGATTTTGAATAAACACAATTTATATTAGTGTAATTTATCCCATAATAAAATGTGTAACAATAATGAATTTGTTACACATATTATGTAATTTATCATTCAATGATTTTTTGGAAATCATTATATGCCGTAATTTTAACATCAAAAGCGATATTTTATTACATTGAATTGTTTTAAAATGGTTATATTTAAATGGTTATATAGAAAATGAAGCATTTGCAATGATTGCACATTAAATGATATTTAAAGAGGTATATTTTCTAATAATATTTTAATATAAATTACTAAAATTTATGCACAATTTATATTAATTATTTGCAAAAAAGTTTGAATACAAAAGAGTTGGAAATGCAACTTTAAACATTTTGTAATAGTGGCAATTTATAGAAAATTGCAAAAATAAATGATCAATGTGTATTTGAACAATTAGAAAGTTGAGAATTTTGTCTTTGAAGTCTTATAATTAAAGTGATTTTTATCTTAATGAATGGTAGCTTGCACTTAAATGAATAAAATGAGCGCTTTGATAAAAATTCATAATTACTTTTTGTTTCCATAAAAGAGCTATTATGATGAAAACACAGTGCCATTGTATTTAACGAGCAAAAAATTATGCATTATATATATATATATATATATATATACATATATATATATATATATATATATATATAATATGTATGGGCGTGCTGAAATGTGGCCATATTTATATCCCAGTTATAAATATTCAATTGCGTCTTCATTTTCTATTTTAGATGAAATTTCATTTTGTTATACATAGCCGTTGAATGATATTTTATTTAATTCAAATCTAATATATGATGGTAATATGAATTTGAATTCACTGATTTTATTTAGAAAGCAAACACGAATAAAATGTAATATTTCATATCGCTAAGCGGCTTATTTGTTTTTGTAAAAATGAATTTGCTATAAATAAAATACTTTTGCATACTTCGATTAATATAATAGTTTACTAATTAGATTCAGAAATCAAATAGGAAGTTTTATCTTATGTTCACAATGAATGTTTATCCTTGCCAATAAAGAGTGCATTCTGATTTACCAAAAGAGATTTTTTTAATAAAATTTTATATATTTTACAATATAAATACAGGTTTTTCATCTGAAAACTAATTAACTAATTAACTTAAAAGTCAAAGACAACTGACAATAGAAATTTAAAAATATTGTGGTGTTTTTCCGTTTAAGATAATAGTATTAAATAAATAGTAGTCTGCTTGAAGGCAGGTCCATGGTTTAAGATGCAGTTAAGAAATTTGGAGAATTTAACATTCTTGCTGAGTTATAACATTTTATAATCACCTATTGTATTTATAGTCAGTTAGGCAGATATAAAAAATATAAATAAAAGTATAACTATAGTGTTGCATGACATCGTGCCTTAAGGCAAATTGCTAAAATATCTCGTACCAATAACTACAATTTCTAACTAGCTGTAAGTGGAATTCTGTCTTAAGGCAATTAGGGCATCGTGCCTTAAGGCAAATTGCTGGAACTTCCCGTACCAAAAATTATTATTTTTTTTAAAAACGATTAACATTTTTGAAAAAAAATTACTTTGAAAAAATAAGATTTTTGAGAAACTATAAATTGGACAAAAAATTATTTTTTTTTGAAAAAAAAAATTTAAAAAAAAAAATTTTTTTTTTGAAAAAAATTTTTTTTTTCTTTATTTTGACATATTGTGGAAGATCTGAACTTTTTTTTCAAAGCAATCGTACTGCTTTAACTACATAGGGACAAAATATAAAGCGCGTAAGCGCCGCGTCGCTGTCTAACGCATAAGCATTGGTACGGAACCGATAGGAATGTAAACAACATTCATACTTATTGTTAAAATCTCTATAAAATATCTGATAATTTGATGTGCATATGTCTAATGATCATTTTTGACCGGCAAATGGCTCATTTTTTTACTTTTTTCTCTATATCTCCGAAACCGCTGGACTTACCTTCATGAAAGTTGTATCGATTCTTCATCTTGTCAATACAAATAAAATGTTTTTTGAATTATTCAAATCGGACGCTCCGTTCTCTTAAAAACTGAGTTACCGTTTTCGGAACTTTTTGCCCCGTATCTTCGGAACGGCTTGACCTGCCTTTGCCAAAAACTAATCAGCACGTCTCCTTATCAATACGGATCGAATGTTTTTTGAATTATTCAAATCGGTTGATCCGTGTTCCCGAAATCGTCGACGAAAATTTGTATCCGCACATACATACACACACATACATACATACACACACACACACATACACACACACACACACACATACATCCATTTTTTCTAAGGTATGCCAAAATGTTCAGAAACCTCTGAAACGTAAAAATATATAAAAATTTTCATTTTCGATTTTTTTGCGATTACTATAACTTACCCTACGACAAGTTAAAAAAAGAATAATTTTTTTCAGAACTTTAAAAAAAATAGATTTTTGAGAATTTAGAAATTATTGAAAAAAATTGACCTTCTTGAAAAATTTGAATTTTTTTATACTGTTTTGGAAATTTGAAATCGAAAGTTTTTTGAATTATTCAAATCGGTTGATCCGTGTTCTGAACGTAACGTAAAGATATATAAAATTTTTCATTTTTTATTTTTTTGCGAATACTATAACTTACCCTTCAGGAAGTTAATAATAATAAAAATATTTCACACTTGACGTTTTCTTTAATAATTTGTCGTTCATAGAAAAGCTTATTTAACCCCATATCCTGGTTTATCAGCCTGGTCAATCATATCTAATTTTTGTAATATTAAAAATTCCAATAAATGAGATATTTAGATATAGACTGGAGTGTAAAAACAAGCTGATTGAATATACTAATAGTCTATCAAAAAGTTGTAAGATAAACATTATAAAAATAATGAAAAAAACTGCCTATTTTAAGCAAAATATTTTAAGTATTATTAAGCAAAAAATCCATTCTACCCGTTCTTTTGGTCTCTTTTGTTTCATCATCACTTAATTAATTTTTAACTTCCCGAAGGAGAAGTTTATGTTATCATCAAAAAATCCGATTCTCTAATTTTATGTTTTCTCGACGTTTCAAGCCATTCTGAATCGAATGAAACCAAATTTGGAAAAAGTATGTGTGTGTGTGTGTGTGTGTGTGTGTGAACAGATTTTTTGCCGTAAATCGACGTTTTCTCGAAAACGGCTGGGCCGATTTCAAAAATTTAAAAGCCATTCGATGTATCTCGACGAGAACTATTGTTTGTCTGTTTTGTGCGACGATCGGCCAAGCCGTTTCTTTATAAATCGCAGAAAAGTGAAAAAATTTTCGTCTACGTTTTAGCCCGCAATTCTAAATCGATTTTGAAAATTCAAAAACCGTTCGAAAGATATTGGTTGGGAATCGTGCTGATTAGTTTTTGGGAGAGATCGGCTGGGCCGTTTTCTTGTAATAAAGTTTTTAAAAAAAAAAATCGACGATTTTTATGATTATTTTTTTGACGGTAGATACCATAGTCTTTTAGATTAGACTTTTTGTTTTGTTTGTTTTTTTTGACAAAATTAGACTTTTGATCGACGTTTTCTCAAAAACGCCTGAACCGATTTTAGAAATTTAAAAGCCATTTGATGTATTTCGGTGAGGACTATCGTTTGTCAGTTTTGTGCGACGATCTGCCAAGCCGTTTCTTTGCAATTTGAAAAAAAGTGTTAAACTTTTCGTGCACATTTAAGCTCATCCTACCGAACCGATTTTAAAAAATCAAAAACTGTTCGAAAGATATTAGTTGGGAATGGTACTGATTAATTTTAGGTGAAAATCTACCGAGCCGTTTTCTTGTAATTAACTGTTGAAAAAAAGTGTTAAACTTTTCGTCCACATTTAAGCTCATCCTACCGAACCGATTTTAAAAAATCAAAAACTGTTCGAAAAATATTAGTTGGGAATGGTACTGATTAATTTTAGGTGAAAATCTACCGAGCCGTTTTCTTGTAATTAACTGTTGAAAAAAAGTGTTAAACTTTTCGTGCACATTTAAGCTCATCCTACCGAACCGATTTTAAAAAATCAAAAACTGTTCGAAAGATATTAGTTGGGAATGGTACTGATTAATTTTAGGTGAAAATCTACCGAGCCGTTTTCTTGTAATTAACTGTTGAAAAAAAGTGTTAAACTTTTCGTCCACATTTAAGCTCATCCTAGCGAACCGATTTTAAAAAATCAAAAACTGTTCAAAAGATATTACCCTAGTAGA